GGAATCCAGCAGGGAGGCTCGGCAGGGGAGCAACCCCCAGCAAGATTCGGGAGCGCGGATGGGAACCACTGCACGGCCCCTCTGGGAGGGGGACACAGGTCCCTGCTGCAGCCTCCCCGCCAGGCAGCAAAATGTGGGAGCTGAATGGCTGAACGTTCGTGAGCTGGGGATCCCTGCTAGCACTGAGCGGGTGCGGCCCTGCGTGGGGCAGGCCTTCCTTAACCCAGCCAGGACCTGCCGGCCCCCGGGCTGCCTCAGCCCCATTACTGCTGCCTCTCCTCCTGCAGGGCCTAGGACACGACCTCCCCCGCTTCCTGTGCTGTCAGGCCCCTTTGCCCCTCCGTCACAGCAGGATAGAGGGGCTGGGCCCTGATTTCTCTGCAACCGGACAGCAGTGGGGCTAGGAGGGTCCATGTGCACTTTAAACTATCCCACTCCACTCCCCCCCACTCGGATCTGCTGGCCCCGAGCCCCGAACAGGGAGGCCTTCTCCCTCTGAAAAACCAGTCTGACGTTCCTACGTCTCTTCACAAAAAGCTGCACTCAAACGAGAGCTTACGCCCGGGGAAACTCCCGGCGATGTCACTGTCGGCCGTGCCGTGGTCCCAGCTGGCTGGAAATCAGGAACTTGCTTTTGGAGGGAGGCAGCCCCCCCCGAAAAGCCCCCAGAGCCTCGATCCTGGCCCGGCTGTTAGCCCACAGGGCCCACGTCCGGCCCAGGGTCCAGCAGGCCCGGCGGGGGGAAGCCCTTGCCCGCGTGGCTGTTCTGGTGGTAGTAGAGCGAGCGCTTGTAGCGGAAGCTCTTGCCGCACTGGGCGCAGGGGTAGGGCCGCTCGCCGGCGTGCATGCGCCGATGCTCCACCAGGTACTGGTTGCGGGTGAAGCTCTTCTCGCACTCGGTGCACTGGTAGGGCCGCTCGCCCGTGTGGATGCGCAGGTGCCGGCGGAGGTTGGAGTGGTGGCTGAAGCTCTTGCCGCACTGGGTGCAGATGAAGGAGCCCTCGCTGGGCCCCGCGTGCACCCGCTGGTGCAGCACCAGGCTCACCTTCTGCTTGAAGCTCTTGCGGCACTCGGGGCAGGCGTAGGGCCGCTCCCCGGTGTGCGACAGGTGGTGCTTCCGCAGGCTGGAGCGGTGGTAGAAGCTGCGCTCGCACTCGGAGCACTGGTAGGGTTTGCTGCCCGCCTGGCCCGGGGCGGGCGGCCGGG